GCTGCACTTATTTTTCAAAGAAAGTGTCTTAGGCCATATTTTAACAGTTATTTAATTTTAAAAAGTACATTAAAAAAATAGCCAGTTAAGAGTTTGTCTACATTTCATTGTTTATGTAATACCTAAAACCGCCACAAATTGTTTAATTTATTGAATTTTTTTTCCAGAAAATTTAGTGAAACCTTTTGAGTTTTATAATAGAATCTTGACTGCTGTGGAATTTTTTTTTTTTTGCTAGCTTCTTCTTTTTTTTTTTTTTTTTTTTTTTTTTTTTTTTTTTTTTTTTTTATTTTTTATTTTTTTTTTTTTTTTTTTTTTTTTATCATTATCTAGTAGACCCTTTTTGTTCTTGATAGAGGACTTCAGTCTAAAGTTTAGACAAATTGAAATGTGAAAATATTTAAGGATATAATGAGAGAAACAGGTCATATCTTCCTTGTTTTTCATTTGATAAAAATTATAGAAATTTTTATACTGAGCTCACAAGAATCAAATAATCAAATACTGAAAAATGTAAGCCTCTGCATGACATTGAGGATGTTGTATATAATCTAAATTCTCTGCCTGCTTGATGTTACACAGCATACAGAGAATATGATATGTTTATCAAAATTTTGCTCCTAATAATAGGCCAATAATTTGGTTTGATTTCACTTTATTATAATTTGATCATTAAGTAATGTCAGGTGTCAAGACTATGAAATGTTGACTGTGTTGGATAGGTCATCTACTTAACAGGCTGACATTAACATGACATATCAGACTCCCAATAAAATAAACCATACACATTTCTATGACAATATTATAGATCTTTGTCATCCGAATTATTATTTGACAAATCTAACACATGAACAAACTTTAAGCTAAAGTATAAATATATTAACATATTTCTCCACATATATTCTCACTGTTGTACATCTTAAAGTGTAACTGAGGGAAAAAATAAAATTAAAAAAAATCACATTGTCCTAGCAAATAAATATGTGATAATAAATAATCAAACTGGAAACAACCTTTGAGTTCAACACTTCAGATTCACAACCCCAAGAAATGATAACTCATTGGCACAAAGTAGAATAATCATGTTCAAATAAAATAAAAAACATGAACCATAAATATTATGAAACACTAAAAAAAACCCAGCATTTTCACAAAAACTACCAAAAACAAAACCAAACACACAAAAATCAACACATTTCAAAATAAGTAAATAAAATTAAAGAGAAGCATGGAGGAAATGAAAATCACAAAAGGCGTTTGGACTGTAAAAGAGTTAATTTAGTCGATGGATGGATTGGTAGACTAGACTTTTAATATTTTTCACTTCGGCATGCATGAGCCCAGCATGGAGATTGAGCACATGAATTCCACATAAAACTAAATTGCATAATACTTTATAGCAGATTTAGTGCCATCTCTTTCAATTTGATAAATAGATTAATTAATAATTACTAGTGTCCACTTGGTGAACCTCAGAGTCCATGAGTAACACCACTGTTGAGCTAAATAATTTATACGCTTGGCAGGTATGGAAAGTTACGATCCAAACAAATAATATTGTTAATACTAATGTACATTTAGAGAAGGATGCAAGTTGTAGAGCAAAGTAGGTCCAATAAATTAACTTTAAATAATTCTCAACATCAACAATCAATGTCACTAGATAAGAAGATCACATTTGTTAAAAATCTAATTATAAATAAAGTAAGTTCAGGCTGTTAAAACTTTTGCAAGATATAATTAGTATGACTGAACCAATAGAACCTAATTATCAATTATCGATAATCAAAAAGTCAGATATCAAATTCTCACATGTTTAAGACCAAGTAAAGACCCCAGCAAGTATAGCTTAATTAAATCCCAGCTTGCATCAAGAAAGATACCTCAAAAATACATAGTGGAATCAAATTCCTTTATTATATAGAACCCAATTTGTTTTCCAGAACACTTAATCTTGTATGGAAAACTTAACACAGTGAACAGCCCTAAAAATGATAGAAGTCGTTTTCCCTGACAGAAATTCAGTGATAAATCTTTAGATAGCCATGCAACTTGAGTAGATGTTCCTATGGTTTTATAGCATGAGGAAAACCATTGAAATAGCATTATTTTAGCCTGTGATTTTATTAATTATTTTTCTCTAACATTGAAGAAATCACCTTGAGCCTTTCCGCTGATCTCACAAAAAATGTTGGCCTAGTTTGAAATTTTAATTATGTAAAGATATCAAAAGTGTGTTATATCAAAATACAACATAAATAATCAATTTCCATTAATTTTCTTGTTTTCTGCAGGCTTAATCAGACAAGATGAAAAAAAAAAAAGCAAAGAAGTAAAAATTAAAACACATTGAAAAAAAAAAAAAAACAAAAAAAAAAAAATTATGTAAAGATATCAAAAGTGTGTTATATAAAAATACAACATAAATAATCAATTTCCATTAATTTTCTTGTTTTCTGCAGGCTTAATCAGACAAGATGAAAAAAAAAAAAGCAAAGTTGTAAAAATTAAAACACATTGACACAATGAGAAAACCAAAAGGTGAAAATATTGCACATCAAATTGTTGAGCTATTTAAGCTGCCTCAGAGCCTAGAGGTTAAGAAACACTTATGCCAATCAGCAACCGGATCTAAATTTAAAGTTATTTTAAAAAAATATCAATGGCTATTTTAAAATTGATTTTCCAAAAATCCATGCACTTTTCTACTTAAAAGTTCAAAATACCGAGAGGGGAAATTTTACGATATAGTAAATCCATCAACAAAATATTTGACTGTTGAAATTCTAGAGATAATGTTTTTTTTAAGGTTAAAGTTATTTGAGATAATTATTTTAAGGATAATATCAGGGTTAGATAGTTCAGTAGCATTATGAAAACATCTGCCTCATATTTAAATATCAATTTTAGATCCGGTTAAATATGGGACAAGTGATTACAAAATTTAGAAAATGGACGTGTGTACGATAAATAATATGTAAAGGAAATAAATACTAAACCACAGAATACTTGATATGCCACACTCAATCATTGACAATAAACCCAAAAAATATATGGATGGCACCACAAAAAAAAAAAAAAAAAAAAAAAAAGGAAGGAAAAAAAAAAAAAAAAAAAAAAAAAAAAAAAGTAAGCATCGCACTATTGGTTGAAATAACACTTGAAAATACTGTAGCTTAAAAAAGGGGAATGCAAATTGTAAAATTGGATTTCTTATCTAATATTGGTCATATGTTAAAATAACTTGAGATTTAATATTGGAATGGTATACAATGTTAATAATGCTCACAGTAAATTTTAAAAAATTGAGACTGCAACAATATTTTTAAAAAAATCATAACTTTCATTCCAGATCTGATGTAAAACTTTGAATAGAAATATAGTGACAATATGAAAACTCACATCTAACTGATTTGCAGCAGTGGTATGGTGCCTCAATCAGATAATGACAAAATAACTAAATGGAATGTAAAACTGACAGAAAAGGGTGTATATTAAATAAAATAAGCTGTACAGAAAAAAAAAAAAGAGGATAAAAATAGAATTAAACAAAATTATTCACAACCAAAAAAGAAATGACAAGAAATTAGATGTTTGTTCCTCAACGCTAAATTCACACTATTATTTGTGTTTCAGATCTGTAGCTTCTATTTTTAAAAAAAATCTACTTGATCTTGTTTGATCAAGTCATAAAAATGGAACTCCATGGAATGAATAAATAATTGTATACACAGTCAGATCTATCACTGAATCAGTTGTGGGTATGATGAGCAAACACAAATACAGGTCGATGACTGGACTCCCCTACCTGGACAACAGTAGAGAGGTATGCTGAAATAGAGTACAAATAAGACAGCAAATGTGGGGAAACTGGATTGGGAGGTGGGGGTTGTTGAAGGTACAGGTGTCCTAGCTAGTTATATCTTAAGCTTACACAAGTTCTTTAGACCTAAAATTGAAGGTACAGATGTCATAGTTGTTATATCTTAAGCTTACACAAGTTCTTTAGACCTAAAGTTGAACAGTGTTTCAATGAAAAAAAACTGAACACATTTAATAAACCAAATGTCCTTGACCAATGAGGAAGTATGAACATTTACTATTTTGAAATCACTAATAGTTGTTACCTTTTTTTTTTTTTTTAAAAAAAAAATGCTTTTCAATGGAATATTTTTGTTTTTCATGATAAAAAAAATAATCACATCACTTGTGTTTTTTTGTCAATGAATTGTGATGGAAATACCATGCAGCATGAACTCCCCAACCACCCCCACCCCCCAAATAAGTAAATAAATATAAAATATAACACATTTGGCAAGTCTTTAGATTGGATATGTTCACAAAACAGTCATTGTATACCTATACCTTAGCTCTCTCGGATGCAGGCATGAAAGGCGGATAGGCCCAACATCCACCTCGCTTTAGATGTGGTGAACAAGTATATTGCAAAAGTTATGACATAAAGTTAAAGACAACAAATTTTCAAATTGGCTATACAAATAGATTTCAAACAACAAAACAGAAAAAAAAAAACACAAGAAATTCCAACGAAATAAAAGTAAGTCACATCTACCAAACTGTGACGCTGAGTTCTCTGTCCAGGCGCTGTTTTGTCTGGCATGTAGAGATTGTCCATCCTTGAGACATTGTGAATTGAATTATCCATGGAAAGCCTTGCACCTTATCAAGGGGTACAGACATATTTGTCACTTCCCAATCCTTCAAACAAATCAGACTTTTTTTTTTACATAAATATATATATTTATATATTTCACTTCCTCATAAGGTTTTGCTTGAAGGTAGGTCAAATGTCAAATCCTTCTTTGAAGGATCTAAACTTCGTTCATGACACCAAAACATTACTTCTGAGGGGGAGAAAGGGGGTTTTAAAATTTGTATACCTTGTATAACGAGCTTTTAAAAAAAACTCTGCACGTGTCATAGTGTGTAAGGGTCCTTGTGGTAATTTACATAGATGCATTCTGGGAACAAACGAATTCGATCAGTTGAAAATAACAGCAACACTTGTATAAATCATCGTCATCAATATCTTACTGTATTCAAATAGTGGACGTGCATCGCTTCAGTTTGACTGAATAAACTACAAAGTTTTGTAAAGACATGATGTCATGTGACAGTTGTCCTGGTACACACATGGGTCATGTGATGACAACACAGTATCAAAAAAAAAATAAAAGACACCTCACCATGACACAGGAGAAAATGTCCCAGCTTTTATGGTTAGCTTTTATTGCACGCCGACACGCTTTCACGATTGTTGTTTCCGTTGTCATCTTGCCATTTATCCAATGATCGCCTCCGTGCATTCATGAAGAAGTTGGCCACCGTTGTGACCTCCAGCCCAAGCTGTTGGGCGATTGTCTGTTGCATCTCTTTACTGGGTCGCTTGGTCTCTTTGAAAATGGCATGAAGCGTACGTCTCTGAATATCAGTGAACACCAACCGAGGCTTCTTAGGGGGCCGGTTTTCTTCTGGTGATTTATCCACATCTAGTTCTTTCCGTTTGCAAGCTACGAAGTAGAAGTAAAAATAAATTATATTAGACATTAGGTAGAGGGAGACAACCAGGATTGTGTCAATTGTCAATGGTTGGCTGATGAATTATTGCCCAATATAACGACACAAATCAAAACAAATTCAATGAGAACAAACGATCGTGCGTGACGTCAATTTCAAATCAACTGGGACCTTTCCACTAACTGACGTCAATTTCAAATCAAATGGGACCTTTCCACTTACTGACGTCAATTTCTAATCAACTGGACCTTTCCACTTACTGATACATCTAAAGAATATACTCTCTTTTATATCTCATGCTTTCATGGCAAACACATACTGGACCTCTTCTTCTTTTATATCTCATGCTTTCATGGCAAACACATACTGGACCTCTTCTATTTACTTTAATCATATAACTACACAAACACCCTAAGCCTCTTGCTGCTCGAATTAACACTTTTAAAAATATCTACATTTGCATGTTACAGGGTCCTACAATAATTTTCAAAAATGTCTTCTTCATGTTTAAAAAAAAAAAAAAAAAATTATTCAAAATGACCTTGTGCGCTTGAAAGAAAAGCTGTGAAGTTTCTTGTATTGTTTTGTTTGTTTTTTTGCCCCTTGAAATAAAAATATGAGTTTCAAAATGGATATAAAAACAAAGGATAATCCAATTAAACAGTAGTCTACATGGAATGTTAAGAAGAAAGAAAAAATGAGATGGCTGCCTTCATAATAAAACAGAAGGATGGAACAATCAATAATGTTACAGCCATTATTCAATATCACTAGTTTACTTCATCAGAAAAGAAAACATGTTAAGACTTGATCAACCTTCAACAGAGTTGGTAGATTATTTGAGCACATTTTAAAACTAACGGGAACATTACTAAATTTAAGTTAAAAATTGTTCTAAGGATATTCCACTAAATTTAATTGTAGAGAGCAGCTTTGTCAAATATTAAAATTTAAAAAAAAAAAAAAGAAAAAAAGATGCTAACTTATTATAAAATTTTATTTTTTTTACTTCACAAAATTAGCTTCCACATAAATATTTGCAATATTAACTTGATATTAATATTTTTAAAAATTCACAATTAAAGCTGTTCAGAATGTGATCCTTTTAATTTAAAAAAAAAACAACGTTGGTATCCTTTCAATTTTAAGTGAACATCTCAAACACTTTTTGAAACCTTTAAATTAACTTCGCTCTTGTTTGTGTGCTTCTTTCTGGGTTTGTGGTGAAATCTTCGGAAGGTTTAATTGAACCACTTCCTGTCAACCTATGGAGCTGAAACTTGGCTCACAGACTCGTTGCAGACGACAACATATTCTATCAAATTTTTAACCCCATTCTCACCCCCACAAAAATCAGTTTCAACATTACCAGATGCTACCTTTTTTCCCACAAAATAAAATTCCTGATGACTGCGCGAAATGAGATTCTTTAAAATATTGCAAGTGCTGCGAAATGAGATTCTTTAAAATATTGCAAGTGCTGCGAAATGAGATTCTTTAAAATATTGCAAGTGCTGCGAAATGAGATTCTTTAAAATATTGCAAGTGCTGCGAAATGAGATTCTTTAAAATATTGCAAGTGCTGCGAAATGAGATTCTTTAAAATATTGCAAGTGCGTGTGGTGAGTAAGATTTTATTTTGTATTGTTTTACGGAAATAGCTGTGAAGGGGGTGGAACACATATTGATTCTTATGAAGTGCGTCACTTGAATGCATGTTTTGTGACATTTTCAGCCACACCCCGCGATTGCTAGATGTTACATTTCATGAAGGCTTTATACCCAAAACTTTGTTAGAGGTTGTTTAATTTAAATTGAAATAGTCAAGAAAACATGACATGTTGTCACATTGAAAAAAAATGATCTAATAATACTGCCAGCCTCCACAACATTGCGTCAACAATGAATTCATGGATGAAAGAGAAAGCACAAGTAAAACCTAGCCGTACAACGTTATGGTTTGCTAACTGACCACACACAAACCCGCCCACCCACCAATGTACTAAGTGCCCATGGCTTGCTAACTGACCACACACAAACCCGTCCACCCACCAATGTACAAAGTGCCCATGGCCAAGCCACGAAACACAACAAACATCTATGAATGAAACACATAATGAAGACATACATTAAATACTGACATCTTGAGCTTTACTAAGAAATATTGCTCGTATATATATATATATATATATATATAAATAAATAGTATTTACTACAGTGTAAAACTAAATGTGCTTATAACTCAATAGGATTTTTTACAGGTTTAAAATCATAAGTGATAAATGACTAATGAATGGAGAAAGTTTATCTACTAAAAATAAAAGGTTGAAATTGCATAAAATAACCTGCACCAAAAAACGCTACCAAAAAAACCTCTCATGAATCAACCTAAATTTCTTAATTTAATTTTGCATAATTGGGTTCATAAGCCAGGTATTATTAACATTTTCTTACAATTATATAAATACATTTACAAAATTCCTGAAATGATAAATTCAAATAAACCATCTAAATTTAAGTCTGCCTCCTTCTTGATTTTAATTCTTGGTATCTAGCTTAAGTATTGGTAAGTTACTACAACCAATACGTTTTTACGATATTAAATGTAAATTTAGAAATACCATTCTATGGGTAAAATTTTATTCTTCCGTAATTGTTATTTAATCAAGCTATTTCTAAATAAGATGTGCTTCTTTTAAAATATCACTTTTTAAATTTACATACAAGAAATAGTTTCTCCATTAAACAGAAATATTCTAACATTTAAGTAATATATTTGGTTCAAATTTATCTGTCTTTTCTGTCTGAAAGTTTTTCTGTAGGTGAAACTTTGTACTTGAAAAGTTACTGTTCATCCATAAAACTTTAATATTAAATCCATTAGCTCTACCTTTCTTAGCAGCACCATGGCTTTAACAGCACTAAGGCTTAACTTTAATGCCACTGCATCATGGACATGAAATTCAATTCCTTCCCCATTTTCATCAAACTTAATTAAAAGACAGCATCTGGCAGAAACGTCAGCTTAACTGTCTTGTCTTTTTTTTATTTTTTTTTCCAAGCCATAACATGTCTTGTTCCACTATTTATTTATTATCAGACAAACTTCGGGTTGTCTTGGGTTTTGTTGGGGGGCATCATGTCTTCTATTTCAGAAGACTTTCAAGAACTAAAAAGTTGCTGTCTTGAGTAGCAGCAGTTGGTTTCCTCATATGATTAAAACTCACCTTCGGGTATATAGCTCTGCTGACCAACAAATCCTGGTTTTGTGGGTGACTGGGAGGGTTTGAAAGCTGAACCTGTAGGGGTGAAAAGAATGTAACCTTAGACCAAAAGCCAAACAACCACCAGGGTTTCAAATAAGGAAAAAGGGTGTTGGAGAGGGGGGTGGGGTGGAATAGGTCTACACATGTTAAAATATTACACTAAATCAGATTAAGTAAATAATTTAACTAAAGTTTTTTAGCAGAGCCGTGTACTTAAAATTCGCTTTCAACAATCATGAAAAACTGCTAAAACGAGTAGCTAAGGTTGAAAGCAGAATATTTTTTTTGGTCAAATATTCCATTACCAATTTGCTAAGACACTGAAGGGGAAAAAAAAAAGACAACATATATATCAATATATAATTTAGTGGGACACCTGTGTGATATTGATCATCCATAAAAACGTTTGATGGCTCAGAGAACTGATCATTATGACCTATTTTTACACAGGGATGGTTACAGTGAAATAGAGTTCTATGGCCCAACACAGCCTTAGGGTACTGCTTTCTCACTATAGTTGTTTCTCTGAGTGTCAAAGTTAATATTTTCCCATTAAAAAAGTATATATCCAGTGGACAAAGACTGAAGTTAGACATTGCCTGACAATATCACCAATTCTCAAATGGGGGTCTATGCACCCCCTTAAATTCCTGGACGCACTATGGGTATCTTTTTAAGAATAAAGTTCTAAAAAAAATTTTTTTAAAAAATTTATGATGATAACATCATTGGTGTGGCCGTAAAGCAATATTTAATTATGTTAGAATTATTTTAGAATTGAATCAAAAAATTATAAGTCTACAAAGTTAAATAGTCATTATTCTTTAAACAATTAATTAGAATTAAAAAAACTGCTGATGTGCTGAGGAGGGAATAATTGTTAAGTATTAATTACTTAATGGAAACTCATGAAGCCATTGCAGTTAAACACACAGAACAAAAACACAATGGTAAAGCTATAAAACAGGGTGAACAGGAATGTGATGTAATAGTTACAAGGTGAACGGGTAAGTGATTTCACAATTACAAGGTGAACAGGTATGTGATGTAATATGAGCAAGGTGATGCAAATTTAAAAAAAAACAATGCTGTATTCTTAGTAGTTACAGAAAGGTGTTTTAACTCTTTTTCAAGAGGGAATAATAAAACAAAATCCAAATGAGGTAAAAGGTCAGACTTTGCTGTAGATTTTTAATAAATAATGCCCCAATGAACAAAATGTAATAAAATTCCCCTTTGCTTGAGGCAAAAAAACAGAGAGACCCCCCTCCCCCTCCCCAAATTTGATTTAATAATCACGTCTAGCAACAATTCCTTAATGGTCTATTGCTTGTAGGGCCTACTACACAACCGTGCTACACAACCGTGCTACACAAGCACCACCAACCACGATAACACTCTTGACACATTTTACAAACACACGTATAGCTCAACCCAGCACTTAAGTAAAACCAGACTTACAGCACAACCCAGCACTCAGGTGCAACCTGACCTACAGCACAACCCAGCACTCAGGTGCAACCTGACTTACAGCACAACCCAGCACTCAGGTGCAACCTGACTTACAGCACAACCCAGCACTCAGGTGCAACCTGACTTACAGCACAACCCAGCACTCAGGTGCAACCTGACTTACAGCTCAACTTAACAGCACAACCCAGCACTAATGTACAACCAGACTTACAGCACAACCCAGCACCCATCTACAGCCACCCTTACAGCTGCCTGGAGACATGTTGATCAGACACAAGGCAGGCGTTGTACTGGGATGATGACTGTGGATGTGTCTCTTATTAAAAATGTCTTCGTCAAGGAATCCATCACCACCCATAAATTTATTCACAATCTAGCGCAAACATCACAAGGGGGTGGGGGGGGGGAGCGCAAAATTGTCAATTGTGTGCGCACACACACTAATGTATGGCGCTGTATAACACTGAAATTTGGACCCCATATGCTAGTCATGAGCGGAAACTCAACAGCTCCACCAAAGATGTCTGCTTTGCATTTTGCGCATTCGATGGAAGGACAAGGTGCCTAGTGCAGAGGTTTTGGAACGTGTCATATGTATCATTTTCTCCACTCTTAGCAAGAGGCGTCTTCGCTAATTAAGCCATGTAAGGAGAATAAGGAAATTCCGCATTCTGAAGGACCTTCTGTATGGAGAGTTGACAGAAAGGGCAAGACTTATTGGACGACAGCGATTTATGGAATTTTGCAAAAGAAGCATGTCTAGTACACAGATATACACCACATACTGAAGTTGCATAACACCGGCCGATTTGTAGATCCAGTAATGCAATGATGGCAAATCCGCGGGTTAACGGCGCTGAAGAGTTCCTTAAGACAGGTACAAATCCGCTTGTGGGAAGGAATTTGACAGCACCAGTGGGAAATACTAATGTTCTAGCAGGGGTGACATACGACAGTGCTAGTAGTTCATTAGCCGTGCTAGAAGTTCAAACACTACTACAAATAACCTGCCATGCAATGGCGGCGGCAATGCGTGAACTTCCGGTCTTATTTTTTTTTATCACATGTAAAATTAATAACATTTCCGTAAGATAAAACAAATATAACTATCGCTGTTTTTAATAATCCCAATAAGCTATAGGAGTTTTATCTGGTGAGCCGTATAAACACAGATTTGAAAGCTGTTAAGTGCAGTTATCGGGAATTTTATTTTGCGCGCCTATTGAACACAACGTTACCGCCATCATGGCCCTGTATAACATACCTAGAGAATGATCATTTGTCATACTTGGTCAACAAAGTATTTTTTTTTTTAATGAAAGACTAGTGAAGTGAGACGGTTCGGTGCTATTTCATGTGTATCTCGGGTGGGTTGGAAGTGCCCGGCACATACATTTAGTGGAGGCTACAAGGCGAAGTGAGGAGAACCTGTCTTTTGGGAGGAAAGGGTCCTTTAGGGAGGGCATTCAGAAAAGCGAGTCGCCATGAGCAATCGATAACTGATTTCATGAATGAACGCAGAAACAAGTCGGGGAACCAGGAGGTTGGGGATACCGCCACAACGGCGCGGTGATGCAACATTGCTTCTTGTAAACACCTCGCCAGGCAACATTTCCCCCCGTGATGATATAATCCAGATTTACGACTTGTGGTCAGTGAGATATCCCAGACTTACGTCCGGTAGTAGGTGAGATCATCCAAATTTTTGTCTAGTGGTCAGACAGCCCACATTTACATATGTTGGTCAGTGAGATAACCCAGTTTTACATCTCGTGGTCAGATAGCCCAGGTTCACGTCGCATTGTCAGTCAGACACCCATGTTTACTCATAGAATACCGTGAGACAATAAATATTTGCATCTGCTGGTCAGTGAGGACGTGTCATGTCGTTCAGAGTTTCCCCATAGTCTAAGAGCTGGAATGTGGGTCATTGGGGTGGGGGAGTGGGGGTCAACAAGGGGGAAAATGTATTGAAATTATAATCACAGAAATCCTGAGATAAAAATAACTAACGTTTATTTCTGGTCTGACATTTTAAGACGCTCGCCACCAAAAGAAGTAATCTGACAGCGCACCCTTTGGTCAGTACACCAGTTTCTGGTCCTTCTGATCAGCTCACACGTTTCTGGTACTTTTGATCAGCGTTGCAGTTTTTGGTCCTTCTGATCAGCGCATCAGTTTTTGGTCCTTCTGATCAGCGCACCAGATTCTGGTCCTTCTGATCAGCGCATCAGTTTCTGGTCCTTCTGATCAGCGCATCAGTTTCTGGTCGCTATCTCTACAACATTATTTATAGTATTTTAAAGTTTTCACAACATACCCCTTTTTTACAACATAAGTATCTCTTGTATAAGAGCCCCAATATTTATTGATTATTGTAATAACTCTGTCAACTGAGATTATGTCATACNTTCTGGTCCTTCTGATCAGCGCATCAGTTTCTGGTCCTTCTGATCAGCGCATCAGTTTCTGGTCGCTATCTCTACAACATTATTTATAGTATTTTAAAGTTTTCACAACATACCCCTTTTTTACAACATAAGTATCTCTTGTATAAGAGCCCCAATATTTATTGATTATTGTAATAACTCTGTCAACTGAGATTATGTCATACCGACGTCGATCGTCCCATATTGTAACACATCGTCTGTCTCCTATTGTACCAACTGCATTGTCCCCTATTGTACCAACTGCATTGTCCCCTATTGTACCAACTGCATTGTCCCCTATTGTACCAACTGCATTGTCCCCTATTGTACCAACTCCATTGTCCACTATTGTACCAACTGCATTGCCCCTATTGTACCAACTACATTGTCCCCTATTGTACCAACTGCATTGTCCGCTATTGTACCTACTGCATTGTCCCCTATTGTACCAACTGCATTGTCTCCTATCGCAACAATTTGTCTCGATCTCATATTCCAAGTTTGTATTTTGGACCAATAGTAATAATAATAACAACACAAATGTAAGTCCACTGAACGTCTCTGAGAAAATGGCAGGTTGGTCAAACTCGTCCGAGATAGTTGAGAATACACAATTGGTGACAACCGGGACAGTCCTTTATTTTAACGTCATCACTTGACAAAACCACAATGCAGTAAAAAAATATAATTATATTGAATTCATATAAAGTACATGTATATGTAAGTGCCGACAGGGGCGGACCACTCGTGGTCCAAGGTTGTTACCAGCCTTGGCTGATTACCAGGGGAGAGATGGATTCGCCGGCCCTGGGATGCAGTTTTTCTGGGGTAGAGAGCCCACACTAGAATTTATTATTTTTTTTTTGTAATGAACCATCCAAGTCTGAAACTTAAGCCAACTTGGTGTGTGACCCATACTATCCAGACCTCACACAACATGTCAGGAGGAAAGACATCTATGTATGGTACTGCGGGGTGGAGGTACACGACCACACACATGCAACAAACATCCAAGTAAGTGTGCGACTAGAGGCAGTTGACACATCTGTTGGAGTTATGGAGATTGAGGCAGTGCAACATGATATTTGTTAGGTTTATGGAGACTAGAGGCAGTACGACTTGAGATTCGTTAG